TACCTTTATTTTTGTTTTGGGTAATTATTATCACGTTATTCATTTCATGGAGAATAAGAATCAAAAGAAATAAATTAACAGAACCAATATAGCTTTATAAATATGGATTCATTTGTGGAGATTACAAAACAAAATATTTCTATTGGGAATTTTTGAGGATTCTTTTAAGACTTAGCATAGTGCTAGTGGGAAACATCTTTGCTGAGAACCTTTTAATATTGAAATCGAATTTTGCTGTTTTAGTGATTCAAATTTATAATTACTGCTTGATAAAACTGAGTCCATACATAAATAAAAATTCTCTTAAAATAGACTATTACTTTAACTAATGCATTTGCTTGCTCTTCCTTCTGAATCCGATAACATATTATACTTAAAATGTTGCTATATACTAAACAGCTTATATTGCTTAATTTGTCATAAATTTAATTTGTTATGCCATGTTTTTGTTAATGGTAATTGGCTTTGTTGTTAACAAAAATGAGAAATTAAATAAATATTTGACATAAAAAATTCCTTTCTTGAACCGTTTTTTATAAAAGCCTTTTGTAAGCTTTAAAAGATTTTCCCTATGGAAAAAAGTGAAGTAAATAATTTTAAATATTTTATTTAATTTATATTTAAAACTATTTTTCTTAATTTAAATAAATAGGAAACACTTTGATAAATATCAAAAAGCTAAAAAAGGTAAATAAAAAATAAAAACAAATAGTCTTGAGTCTAATTAACAAAAAATTATATTGAACATAAATGAAAAATAACCTCATGATAATAAGCAAAATACCATTGATCTTGATTTTAATACTCCAAAGAATTCAGAAATAGCCTTTATTAATTTGAAGAACTCTCCTGATTTTTATAAATCTGCTTAAAATATTAAAAGTTTAAATAGCTCTATATAATCTCCTATCCGTTCAACTAGACATATTATGCCTTCTTACTAAAAAAGCAACTTTTAAAATTTATAAAATTAAGAATAAAATACATCCTTACATTACAAAAAAAATGTAGAAGAATTTGAACAAAAACCTATTTAAAAGACAATTGAAGATAAAAAGGAAACTTAAAGTATACATATAGTTTCAGAGATTGCTTCTATATCGGATTTAAATTTGGAAGAAAACACTTAAGTAAATTAGATGTTTAATGTGGCATTTTTTTAATCACAATATGAGCTCTTATAAAAGATGAAAGAGGACATTTATAAAAATTAATAACAAAGTAGTGAGTAATTATCTAATAATCATTGAGTACTTTATTAAAATACATGCTTCTATTGAATAAATAAATA